GTGAGGAGTTGATTAGCTTTCGTTCGACTTCCTTGTAGCAGGTATCAGAGATTCCTGCGGCTGTGGCGACCGAGATTCCAGCAGCCTCACCGTTCATACCACCTTGTAGGACGTAGGTCCCACCGAGGACGTGAGCGATGTGCTCGGCCATGGCGGCAGCACGCTTATTCCAGACCAACATCAACACTTGCCAGCTCAGACCACTGTATCCGAGGACATGACTGATGGCGTCCCAGATACGGATCTTGCCGTTGATGCCGGCGTGTTGATAATAGTCGTACCGCCTCTTTGCAGCATCGGCAGTCCAGCCGGCTGAAGAGATGGTGAAAGGCAAGGGCTCGGTAGAGGTTGTTTGCCAACCCGCATTCTCGAGCTTCGTCAAAGCAGCTTCAGTGACTTCGATGATCTTGCGGATACCCTTCAGCTGACCATTGCTGGTCATGTACATGCATGGGACCTCTTTGGTCCCTGCTCGCAGCGCGCTCTTCAACCCCTTTTCAGTCAGAGCATCTGGNGAGTAGCCTGCCGCTGTCTCTTGTCTTGCCTCTATCGATGGCCAGAACTTCCTTGAGATCTCCGGGAGTCGCAATGTAATTGTTCTTGGGATCCTGGATGATGCGCATGGGGGCTCCTTGTCGTCTGGCGTCGAGCGGCCTTGCCTCACATAGTGGGTGTATGCCTTGGCGTAGGTCATGGCTTCCTTCATCTTCTGCATTGTCGGATTGTCATGTCTGCTAGTGACCAGGTGCAGCATGTAGATGTACGGTCTCCGGAGGCGGTTGTCGCATGCATTGTGGTGTTTCGGGGGAGTCGAGGGGACTGCAGCTCTCAAGGAATGACCAGATCCGAGTACCTTGTTCAAGAAATCTCCTTTGAGTAAGGCCTTCTTCACGTCTGGCGGAAGGGCGAATAACACGGCCAGCATCTCAGTCAGGCGGCTGACGCGATCGGTGGTGGAACGTGCTGCGGTAGCCATCCTGGCCCAGTTGTCGGTGTGTGTGTCGGCAGTGTCTGGAAGAGAGCTCAGTTGATGTCAATGTGCAAGAAAGAGCCGTCCGCTCAAGATAGAGACACTTGAGGAANNCATACCTCGTTGGATGATGGCGTCTGCTAGAAACTCATCTCCTCGAGCCAGCGCTACGATCATGTTCTTGTGGTGCTTGTCCTTCCAGAACCTGTATGTTTGAAGCAGCTGGTCCTCCTCTTGCTGAAGTGCGTCTCTCTGTCGCTTGGCGAACAACCACCTCAAATTAGTCTGTTCCGCAAACGTCATGTCGACAATGGGCTTGGTGAGCGTAAAGTCTGGTCTCGGGTTGGTAGGGAAGTATCCAGCGTAGATGGGATCATCAAACACTGGAATGGCGCTGGGTGAACCCGGCTGGAGGAAGGCTTTCGATCCCGCAGCCATATCGAGAGCGGTACGCGGAGGCGTGAGGATGTGATTCAGAGGTACGAGCCACTGGAAGCGAAAGAGGCCAGACGTTGAAAGGCGATGGCGGATGCTGATGATGGAGATTGTGACGCGTGTGGTATAGACGTTCAGGTTCGAATTGAGTTTCGCTTAATAGACGATCGTATTCTCCGCAGTCGTTCGCCGGGTAGATCCGCTGCGCCACATTGCGGCGTCGCGAGTGTTCAGGGTCCAACGCCGAAATTCAGGTATGAAAATCTTTCGAATCAGCACAGATGTCAAGCAGAACTAGCAAACATAAAGTGGAGAGTGCAAGATGGAGCGGAAAAGCAGCGCATCCGAATGAAACCGGTATGGAACATGTGCTACTCGACTGCGGTTGCTGGTGCTCGTCTACGCCAAGAAGCACACCAAAAACTCCGAGTTTCATGATATGGTATCTTCTCCGAATGATCACAACGAGCAGCCCATTGAAAGTGTACTTTTTGATGTCAAAATCCAATCCAGACAGCACGACGATTCTCGCTGACCTCAATCTGTGTCTCTGCAAGTTGTTGCTAGATTGTGCGCATGCTGTCTTCGACTTTACGGTGCAAATCTTCACCAAAGCGTCGGGCTGACTGCGACACCATTTTCAATCTCCTAGCAGACCACATCTGCAAGGCGCACTCTCTAGAGATTACCAACATGGGTTCGCCTTTATGTATAGATCACTTTCATGCCCACAGCTTCCTCAGACGAGACGTGTGCGATTTCTGCTATTTGTCGCAGGAGAAGCTCACCCTCGCGGCCAAGCTTGTCTATACCAGGCTTTGCGACACGCAAATTCTTCCATCCAAGATCACACCACGCACACATGTAGCGATGACTTCAAACTGTAGCATGTTGCTTTTAGATAGATAATGATCGATACTCTGCTTTTATAACTGCTCTGTGAGCAAGGTGCGCGGCCTGCTACGAGATCGTGGGTCCACACCACCAAAGCTTCACTAAAGCTCCTACACAAAAGCGGCGACATTACAGAGTGTAGCAGGCAGCGCACACGTGTAGCCATGACTTCGAATTGCAGCATGTTGCTTTTCGATAGATAATGATCGATACTCTGCCTTTATAACTGCTCTGTGAGCAAGGTGCGCGGCCTGCTACGAGATCGTGGGTCCACACCACTGAAGCTCCACTGAAGCTCCACTGAAGCTCCACTGAAGCTCCCACACAAAAGCGGCGACATTCCAGAGTGTAGCAGGCAGCGCACACGTGTAGCACGTATTTGAGACTAATAGCATGGATTGAAATGACCCTGAATATTCTTTTCGCACGGTTCTTTTTAAGATGTTTGCCTTGTGTGGATTGTTCTGCAAGTTGTCGCAAGACGCCGCAAAGCCAGTGGGCCCACACCTCCGAGTCGTGCTTCATGGCTCTGAACACCATCACGAATGCGCCATGGGATACATAACCAACACACCTCTTGCGATAACGAGCGGTGAATGCAGCCTGTCTGAACTATCATTCTGCCGATCCAGAATTTTTCTGCTCGTTCTGTGAAGCCTCTGCTAGAAGCCACCAAACGCGAGTGCCCGCCGCTTCTCGTCCAAATTCTGGCTGCGCGACAGCAAAGTCAATCGCGATATCCGCACAATTAGCAACCCACGTCCGTTTCGAGCATGGCACTCAGCAATTGATAGACGATAAATGTACACCTGAATCTCACATGCTCCTAATTTTCATACATCTGGTAGTCTTGTGAGGCGTGTTCTGCAGGCTCGCAAATGCGTGACGGCTTCGTTGCAACAAGCCCTCGCTCTCCCACCACCTTGTATTCTTCTCTCAACTCATCGCCCACCCACGCACGATCGAGCTGCACCGTGATATTGGCACAGATCAAACACAAAGACCCAAAGAATACATCTATGGTCTCTAAACGGTTCTGCTAGACACGTGCTCATGCTGCTCATCTCGATTGCATCAACACAGCCAGATCAACGCCATCCTCTGAGCGTATAGCAGGCTGCGCAAACAACTAGCAGTAGTTTGATATTGATAGCAGAGGTATTCGGGTACCTGAGGATGACTATCGCACATTGTATGATGCTCTGCGCGAGATGTGCTCGACGTGATGCTGGACGCGAGTGTGACTCTCGGTCAGGGTTTGGTGGGTACCGAAGCTTCACGACCAGGAATTCTTCCGCCATCGATCACATTGCGCACATCGTGAGCAATGCATTGAATATCGCGGCTATGGAATGTCAACTTCAAGACCAAACTCTGCTCGACGTGTTGATGCGCTGCTACAAGTGTGTGAAGCATGTTACTCTGGTCTGAGTTGTGAGAAGTCGAAGCCAGAGTACGTGTCCGCAAGCCCAGCCACCAGCAAAACCCGGATCACTTTATCTCAACACCCACCGGTCGCATTCTTTTCAAACTTGAGCAACACAATCTTTGGTATATTCTATCATGACCTTGAGAATTTGGGAGCATTGCAGCCACTCTGCGTTGAGTAATGCACCTCTTCACGACCAGCTGTTGGACCCGCAGCTTCGCTCTTGTATAGGCAACTAGCACTACAAAACCCGGACGAGCAACAGCAGATTCGCACTGCAGATATGTTCTACTTGCCACTATCTATGGGATCCGAGAAGAGCAGGGCCCTGCTCGAAACGTGCCCTCGCTGCGCAATGCTTGCACAAGACTGGTAGGAGGATGAGTTTTGCGGAGACGGGGTCGAAAGCCGCTCCAGATGCGAACGCACATGGCAGAGACGGAGTAACACTGCACAACATTCTTTGGACAGACAATACGACCGCGGAGATGCCTTCCTATGGCATCATATCTCTGGACAGTGCTCTTTTTCGAAAAGTAATTGTGCATTTTCACAGCTGAAAATCTCACGAGTCGGCGGCTTCGAGACAGCTAGGGCAAGCTCCGGAAAACCGGAAAGTCGGCCGAGACTCGCAAGATTTACTTTCGCCAATTCTTGCCAATATTACCAATAAACTCACGTATCTTCCAGTGTTCTGCCAAAAGCTGAAATACGATCGAGCAGCTCCATGCAGTTCATGCAATTCATGTGCAAAGAAGGGCGAAGCATGTTCTCACTCGTAAGGCGACGGGTCAACAGATGCTGGTCCAGGGACGGCCATCACAGGATCACATTCACAAACAATAGACTCTTCCATGTCATCTGACTACAGACAGCATCTAGACAGACATGTCGTTTTGGATGCGACAGCTTGCCTGTTTTGGTTTCACTTGCACACTCCCCACTGATGAGCTGATGAGCTTCTAGAAGATAACACCATGCTATCGCCGTCAGTGTTGTCTTAGTTATTCGAGTGTATCGATCAATCAGTTTATTGCTAAAGTACAGAATAGTAGAGGGCTAAAGACAAGATCTAATATCTTCTGATCAACGGGGATAGATAGGCTAGAATGAGGATCAAAGCAAGTCAAAGAACAAACTTTGATTGTTTAGAGCATGGAAAGCAATCTAGGCAATATAGCTGAGACCGCAGAATCCTGAGACCTCCTATCCTCTCGTCCGTCTTGAACATACGCTGTCCCGCTCGCAAACACTACTCTAGTGATAGAATGCCTATACAACATCGCAAATATAGCAACCTAGGTCGATGCCGCTGTAGTAAGAGTTCGAGTCTGAAAGGAAGCCCTCGCTAGAGACTGTGCCACCATGCATCTCACAGAATGGGTAGTCAGGTTTGCCAAAGAATACAGAGTTGCAGCCCGGCGTTTGAGCGCAATAATAGGCACAGTGAGCTGGACTGTCGACGATCTTCGCATCAAAGGTATAGGTCATCAGAGAATTCTCTGAGCTCAAGTAACCCACGACGTCGCACACTGAACCGGCTGGTGGATTTGGGTTGGGAACGCATTGTCCTGGTGTCGTGCACGAGGTTGGAGGCAAGGCGGGATTGGTGACATTGCTGGAGGAGAAACTGTAGGCAATGGTGTACTTATCACCGTTCGAGCCGTATCCTGTGTTTGTGGCGTATGCTGGGCTCCAGGTCTCCGAGTACAACGAGCAGTACTGACCTTGGGGCTTGTTGTTCTTGTACAGCATGTAAGTGTTGAAGAACTGACATGTCTGAACTGGTCCGTTTGCAGGAGGGTTGTTGAGATTGTATACGCTCTGTGCCGAGCAGGCGGCAGCGCAGAGCGAAGCATCAAAACCTCCACTGGTAAACAACTTGAATCCCATATAAGTATTGGTGCCACACATATCGGTGAGCGCATTGATCGCAGCACTACCAAGCGAAACTGGAGTGGTGTAACCAGTGGGTGCAGCGATAGAGTTGGCCATGTACCCATTGGATCCGGCAATGACTACCTGGAATTTGTCTTGCCACTGACCGGTATTGGTAGCCGAGTTCGCGCTCAGAGGACCTGCGTAGAAGACGCACTTGATGACCGTGGTTGAAGCAGGATTTTCGCAACCGGAGCCGGGAGCGAGAGTTGGGTCTCTCTCAAAGTCTGCGCAGGTCAGCGTCAGTATGATTCAGCAAGAAAGCAGCAACAGAACCAGAGGCACTTACAGATGTTGAAGGCGAGGCAGCCAGACTTGGCACTGCACTTCTGCGCGCACTTGTTGGTGTCGTAGGAGGAGAGCACGTCATAGCCCATGTAGCCATAAGCCTGACTGGAGCCCCGGAGGTTCGTAAAGGCATTGGAATACCCAGATGGAGTGGGGGCGCTGCTGGCGGACGAGCTGAACGCTGAAAGAGCCAAGAAAGCACTTGCAGTATCAGGCGTTGGCACGGGTCCCGCCCCGGTGGGTAGAGACGTGCATGCTTGTCTTTTTGCGATGGCGGGAGTGCTAGTGGCGTTCGCGGAAGCAGTTGCTTGCGCGGCTTGTACAGACGACATGTACATGTTGACGGGGATCACTGTCGCTTTACCAAGAGTTGGGGGCGTTACAGTCGTCACCTGCACATCGCGCTTCTGGGCACCAGAATCTGAAGAACTCGGAGCAATGGCGCCTTCAGCTGCCACCACCTGGCTGACGGCAGCGACGGCTGAGGACTGGTCCAAGTCGACAGTAGTGGGTACTGCTCCGACTGGAGCGGCACTGACGACCGGATCGGGGAACGAGTTGACGTAGTCAAGGTCGATCTGCTGTGGCTGTGGCAGAGCCACGACCAACGAAGCAAGAGCAAGAGTGCCAGCGAGGGTAATGATGTGCATGATGGATGGCGAGTAGATGATTCGGAAAGGATATGTCGAGATAGGCTTGAGGCCGGCTCGAAGAGAGAAAGTGGTCGTGGTAGAGAGAGATCTGCTTCGAAGAAAACTTGCAGACCTCAGCGACTATATATACCCAGCCACGAACTGACATCGAGAGTCTCCTCATTAAAAATTACAAGCTTCTCAGCTCCAGGATATCTGCAGGCGTGGTCTTTCACAATTGGAGCGCTTGAGCCAGGCGGTAGTCAGCTGGCGCTGTGCGTGCACTCGGCCTCAGCTAGCCAGGGACCACGTTGATACCTTGGGGAGTGCAAGGAGGCGTTCGTGGATTTTGCAATCACAAGCTGACTCCGTAGCCAAAGCAGCAAGCGGACGCAGTGTCGGGCAGGTGATGGACGCCACGATCTCAGATGGAGTGCGAACGTAGTTTGCTGCTCGGCATTGGCCGTGACGCGCGAATGCGCCAAACTGACATGATTGTGACCCTGTCAAGAGTGCTGTAAGAAACTCGTTCGAATCAAGCCTGGACGTGCCGCGGACTGCGACAAATCCGCACCAGGAAAGAGGTCTCGGTCTGACCGAGCACTGTAAGAGGCTCTTCCAGGAGCTGAAAGGCGTCGACCGCAGGGAGAAACAACACCATCAGCTGTCTGCGGAAGAAAGAACATCAGCTGAAATTATCAGGAGGCTCGACGGACACGGGACCGAATCAAGAAAGGCAGATCGTAAAGGTAGCAAGAAAGGCTCGAGCCAAGGGGACTCCGAGCTGACTGACATCCGCATCTCGGTTGCGGCGTTGCGCACGCGGGAAACAAAGACCAAGACTAACGCCTGTCCTTTAACCTTATAACCCCCGCGGGGAGAAGCTTGCAGTGGAGAAATCTCCTGGGTTCTGTTCCTGCAGGACACTCGAGTGACTGTCACGAAGTACAGATCAGGGGATCGACAGGGCACCTTGAAGCAAAAGTTACGTGCATCATACAGCGCTGGTTATTACTATTATCAAAGAGCATTGTTACATGGCCGTACTTTTGCAATAGAAACATCCCCCACCTTCTGTAACGGCGACACATGGCGGTTTGCTCCGTGTGAGACTTTGGGCTAATAGGGCTGGGCTTCGAGCTGAGAGCTGCACACACACTCTATGCCTCGCGTGTCTCTTGACAACGCGCGACAAGACGCATTCCCCCATCACGAGGGCTGCGAAAAGTTTCGGAGTTCCCGACTATGCTTGCCTGACCTTAGCGAGACTCGTCTTATAGATTTAGGGTTGGTAGACGGTGACAGTCGCACATTCCATGGGTCGCATGCATCCCGATTAAGATGTGATTCGGCTACTAGTGCCCTAAGCAAAGAACCAAGACGACGAAGTCTGCTACGATTGACGTTAGTCGTCGCTCCCAGTCTCGGTTCCGTTGTCGTTATTGTCAAGATCCTCTAGGCTTCTTCTTTGTACAATTACTAACAAGAGGATGCGAACACAAGATTTGACATGCTTGATCAGTATTGTGATTTAAGACAAATGTGTTTGTAGAAAGAGCGAAGGTATGTGGAGCAGAAGCTCATGACATCATATATATTCATGCTCGTCGCACGTCTAAAACTCATTGCTTATTATCGGTAAGGAACACAATCTCTGGTAGTTCTTCCCAAGGTGTTTGCGATACTGTGTCGCCATTCCAGTCCTCTGCCGAAATTTCCGTCGTTCTTGTGGCGATTGAAGCATTCTTGCTCTTTTCGAAACCTCGTGCAGTCTTGCTTGTCGACTGCAGTGTGATACCTTGGCTCTCCGCGCTGATATCGTAAGTCGGCAACACGGGATCCTTGTACATGCCCTTCCTGCTCTTTCCGCTCTTTTGCAAAAACAACGGCGCCAATACCGGTATGCTGGCGGCGATGATGACTACGTTGATCTCCACGCCCATAACAATGATCAAGCGTTCCACTGTTTGTACGGACGGAGAGAATGTGTATAATGCGTACACGTAGTAAATCTTGATCACACTGGCAATGGTTGCGAACAGGCTCAAGCCTAGAGTAGCGACGATGCCGAGGCGTGCGTTGGGAGTCATGACCTTGATACTCCAAACCACGACTGCTGGCAGGACCGTCAAAAAGACATCGGTAAGGGCGTTGAAGATTACAGCCAACAGAGCCAGGGTTTTGATAATGTCGTGTTGCACGCAAGATGCCGCGGGTTCTGCCAATCCATGCTCCCAGAGCGTTTGGAAGGTTCCGCATTGTGTAAAGACAAAGATCGAGATGGGTACATTGACCAAGAGTTGGAGTCCGATAAAGGCGTGTATGCAGCGCCTCCTGGAGGCAGACGCTGTGCTCAGGACACGCAGCATGTATAGACAGAACGAGATGCGACTGAAGAGTGGAGCCATGAAACCGACGGCATGACTGAGGTAGAGAAATTCTGCGAATTTGGGGGCATGAAAGGCGGAGTGTTGGGTGAGATCGACGCTGTATAGGAGTGTGGTCGATGAACCGTAGAGAATTGCAAGCATNCTATAGACGTGATTAGTGATGAACAGACGACAGTTGACGAAGACGGGCTTTGAGTGTGCTATTACCATTGAGATGATCATCAGATAGTCTTCCCATGCTAAGCCGTGGAATCGTAGGATTTTCATGACACCTCTTGCCGTGACGATGATGCCTGACAAGGCGGTCAACACNCAGACAAAACAGACGACTGCTGATCCCGGCTCCATTGTAGGGTCGCAAATGCTATAGAAGATGAGATGGAAGATGATCAATCGATCATGACTGAATCGCGCGTGCAGGAAAGGGGGATGAGGCAATATAAGGGACTCATGTACAGTGAAATAATGGTGCCATTTCAAGAGACATGTTTATTGGACGTTTTTGCATGTTAGGAATTCCAACGGCGAAGGAAAGAATGTACCAAGAACTCGAAAGCCGAGGAAGGCCGGCGTTGATGAAAGGGCTGCCGGTTACACAACCCTTTTTGACAGCTTAATCCGATAGGTTCAAGACAATCATCAGCCAAATTCAGTTCCTATCAAGGTACGATGCAGAGCAAGCAGCTTTTAGTCGCAGGGTATTGTACAGAGTCGAAAAGCAGTTTTGTGAGCAGAGTTGAGCGTATTGACGCGCTGCGACGCGCCGCACGAGATGAAAAGTATGAGACAAATCCTGGAGGAACATGGCTGGATGATGCGAATAAAGCAACCCAAGTTCATTGCAACGGCTGTCCATGTTCATCGGTACTTGCATGCCAAGAACGATTTTATCGAGTTTCGACGTTTGATGACATGCTCAACAGCCACAACTTCCAAGTCAGGTAAGTCGGCATGTTCGTCGCAAGATTCGGATGACAAGATGTGTGCAGAAATCGTCTGGGCAGATCGCTCGTCTTTATTACTCTGCGGGCTGCTATTCTTCGGCTGCCCCAGCTAGTCAATCCCGCCAATCCCGCCGGTCCCGCTTTCTCCGCCGCTTCTCCAACCGCTAACTCTGCAAAGTCCCACCACTCCACGTCATCTCCAAGATATATACTCGGCCCGGCTGATCGCTGAGGTCGTCTCCCGAGAACACGCCCGCCTTCTACGGTGCACCCCGCCATGTGCGCAGCAGAAACGACATGAAGGCGAACAGTTTATCCACCACTTGGTTTGCCCAAGACCTCAACATACCCCACAACCCACGTCGATCTCCAGCTCTTTTCGCATGATCAACACTCAGCCAAGCCAGCATTCTGCCGTGTGTCATGCGGTATATAAACAATAATGCACCCCTCTTTTGATCGCATGAGACTTTTCCTGACCATCGGCTTTGCATGATGTTTTCTTCAAATCGTCTATCCTGGCTTTCGCTGGTTGCTGGTATTGTCGCTGGTGTCAATGGAGGTATGTTCGATCGACTGCGATTCATTTGCCAATTCTAATCAATCCCCANNGACATTACTGCAACCGGCACAAACTTTTCACTGAGTGGCGCTGATGTTTCCTACCGCTTCCACGTCGACCCTCGCTCTGGCGATCTCATCTCTGACCACTTTGGCGGTCCGGTAGATGATTTCACTGGTCCGGCACAAATTTCGAACAGTGGCTGGTCAACTGGACTTGATAACGTCGGCACTCCTGGCTTGACCAACATCCGCCGCGAGTTTCCAGACATCGGTCGTAGCGATTTCCGTCTTCCTGCCATCCACATCAGTCATGCCGATGGTGATACTGTCTCTGCTTTCACATATCAAAGCCACGAAATTGTTCAAGGGAAACCTGCACTGAGCGGACTTCCTGCAACATATGGAAATGCTGGAGATGTCACAACACTGATCGTCAAGCTTTACGACAACTACTCGGATGTCTCTGCTGCATTGTCATACTCGGTCTTCCCCGAATACAATGCAATCGCAAGAAGCTTCCAAATCACCAACAATGGTACCAACAACATTTCTATCGAGAGAGCAGCCAGTTTCAGTACAGATCTGCCCAATCTTGACTTGAAAATGCTTGAGTTGCAAGGTGACTGGTCCCACGAAGCCAACAGAGTCATTAGAAATGTCGATTTTGGCGAGACCGGCTTCAGAAGTACCGAAGGCTACTCTTCTCATATTCACAACCCCTTCTTCGCACTCCACTCTCCTACCACAACCGAGACTACTGGCGAAGCTTGGGGATTCAACCTTGTCTACACTGGCAGTTTTGCTGCAACTGCTGAGCGATTCTCTCATGGCTTTGTTCGTGTCTTGCTTGGGTTGAACCCTCTTCATGCTAGCATCCCTGTTGGACCTGGCCAGACATTCCAATCTCCCGAGGCTGTCGGCATCTACTCATCTCAGGGCATCGGTGGCATGTCACGTTCCTTCCACGATCTGTATCGTAACCATCTCTCTAGATCAAACCATACTTTCGAGACAAGACCGGTTCTTCTCAATTCTTGGGAAGGTCTTGGTGCCAACATCAACGAGTCGTCGCTGGAGAATCTGGCTCAAGAAACAGCTGAGCTTGGTATCAAGCTATTCGTCATGGACGATGGATGGTTTGGCACTGCTCCCTATGCACGCACAAACGACACTGCTGGTCTTGGAGACTGGACACCAAACCCTGCTCGTTTCCCCAATGGTCTTGGTCCGTACGTCAACACTGTGGATAGTTATGCCGTTGCAAACAGTACCAATGACCTCTCATTCGGTATCTGGGTTGAGCCTGAGATGGTCAACCCCAATTCTACGCTCTACCAAGAACACCCCGACTGGGTCATGCATGCCGGCAATCACGTTCGCACACTCACTCGCACCCAATTGGTCCTGAATCTTGGACTCCCAGAAGTCCAGGATTACCTCATCAATGCGATTTCCAGCATCATCAAATCTGCCAACATCTCATACATCAAGTGGGATAACAACAGAGGTATCCATGAAATGTCATCACCAGCCGCCGACTATGCATACACTCTGGGCATGTATCGCTTGATGGATAATCTGACAGCCTCCTACCCTTCCATCCTCTGGGAAGGCTGTGCCTCGGGCGGTGGTCGCTTCGATGCTGGTATCCTGCACTACTACCCACAATCATGGACGTCCGACAATACGGATGCTTCCGATCGCTTGACCATTCAGATGGGTACATCCCTCGCATACCCTCCCTCATCCATGGCCTGCCACGTCTCCAAAGTGCCCAACGGGCTGACCAACCGCAACATCTCCATCGAGTATCGTGCTCACGTAGCCCTGATGTGCGGATCTTTCGGCTTCGAACTCAATCCAGTAGATCTCAGTGCAGAGGAACGCGCTGCCATCCCTTCCATCATTGCGACACACGACAAGATCAATCCCATTGTTATCTCTGGCTCCTTCTACCGAATCGCATGGCCTGGAGATACAAACTGGCCCGCTGTGCAATTTGTTTCGGAAGACGAGAACACAGCAGCGGTGTTTGCATTCCAGCAACAAGCTGTCATCAAACCTGCGCCTCCGCCGCTCAAGATGCAGGGTTTGAACGGCACTGCGAGGTACTCAAGTAACTTGTTCAATGGTACTTTAAGTGGTAACACATTAATGAATGGAGGATTGAACTTGGGCTGGCAGTTGGCCGATTATCAGAGTATGCTGATCTGGCTGTACAAGGAGTAAAGTGGAGATGCGGGATATTTCTGTTAGGAATTTGTATAAGATAAACCTTTAGGTCTTACCGTGCTGTTCCAACATCTAAAACATTGCTGTTGCCGTCGCCATATAACTATTGCTACTACGGTATTGCTATTGCTATTATTGTTGCTATGTCCGCTATTACTATGTTGCTATTACTATTACTATGTTACTATTACTATGTCGCTATTGCTAGTACCATAATGCTATTGCTATGTTACTATTATAAATACCATGTTTCTCTAAAAAAAAAGGTTTAGAAGGCCCGTATAGGGGGGATAGTATAGGACTTAGGCGTTTTTAAAAATCTGCGTAAACCTATAAAACCGTAAATACCGTAATAATACATATATAAACCCTTAATTATTTTCAGCTAATATTATAGAGTATACTAATATAACTAACTTTAGTTAACTAAAAATTGTTTATATCTATCATTATTATTAAGTTATTTATAATTAAAGGCCTATATAGTATTAACTACTAGCTTTATAGGTATAACTATTAAGGTCCTTTTTTATATAAAAATAGCTATTTATTATAGGTAAGTAGATATATAATATAGTTTCTAGACTATCTAAATAAATTCTAGCTTAGAAATATTATGTTATAAGCTAAGTTAAGCGTAACGGGTTTTATAACGATTACTACCGGATATAGAATCCTACTCTAAGGATTCCGCTAAGAACTAGGATCTCTATAGAGCATACTATATAGGGCTACTACCTCCTATATCCTACTTTATGCAATTCTCTATTCTTTCTACTTCCTCTAGATTATATAGAATAATAGAGCATATAGAGCAACATGCATATACTTATTATCTATTAAGTATATAGGTAGGTAGGTCTATACTAGGTAGTCTATTACGATCCAGTGTTAAGCGTACCGGCTTCTAGCTCGTGCACTACCGATTATTACTATATTAGGAATCCTGCTCTAAGGATTCCGCTAAGACAGGATTCTCTCTATAGAGCACTCTATAGTAGGCGGCTACCTAATGCACCCTACTCCCTCTAATCTCTTGCTCCCTCTAATTCTATTAGAGTAGATAGAGCAATAAAGCGTATAGAGCAACATGTATAACACTTATTACATAGTTAAGTATATAGGTAGATAGGACATTATTAGGAAGTCCTACGTTTAACTTAATTAGTTATTCTAATAGTCCCTTTAGTATATACTACTACTTACATCTGCTTTACTACGCTTAACACTCCTCTTTATAAGTCTAACCCCGTAACTAGTTATTCTCCCTAGAATAGTTAGCTATAACACCTTTATACTAGTAGGATACATTATTCCTATAGAAGAACGTATTAATAAGAGTATATAAGATAGTATTAACTTACTCCGATCTTAATACGGTTAAGCTTAATAATAGTAACGTACGCTATATAAACGACACCTTTATAAAGAACACGGACTAGATACTTCCTTAAAAGGAAAGGAGAGAGTTAGGTTTAACTCTATAGTTAGTAACGATTTAGAAAAAAGTAGATTCTACTACTAGAAGATAAAGGGTTTAAGTCGAAACCTTTAAAACCCCACACAAAATTAGGGTTTAGGGTTTATAGCTTTAACCCGAAACCTTTGCTTTACGAGAGACGAAACCTTTGCTTTAATAAGCTTTAAATTAGCTAAAATTAATAGATATAAGTATTTAAGTATAGATCTACTTATACACATAATATTGTCTACTTATTCGTAGGAGCGGTATAGCTACTCTATAGTAATAATTACGCTAAAGACGCACTACGACAGATCTAGGAGCTTCCCCGTACTAGACCCTAGTAACTAACTACACACATATTAACAAAGCCTAATAGCATAGGAGTATATCGATGCGCTATTAATCTATAATATGCCTATATAGCGCGACTAAGATAGCATTTATAGTCTCTTAGTTTGTTAATCCATTCTATTAATGGATTTCGACCGTCTTCTTTAGGTTAACGATAAACATAAGATTCTAATATGTATGCTATACTAGTACGTAATTATACCCTCGTAGCTAACGACACATCTACGAACGCACTACTTACGTCTTACTATAGAATAACGTCGCGACTATATTACGAAAGTTAACGGCTGCTCTACTCTAGCGAATGTTTATAAAGCTGTTATATATCTAACACTAACGGATCCTCTAGTCCTATTCCTTCCGGTCTTTTTCGATAAGCTTAGATATAATGCATCGAACCATAAGAACATAGCTTACGCTTACGTATGTCGCGATCTACGTCTAATATAAAAGCACTATAAAGATAAACACGGATAGGTAAATAAGTAGAAGCGTAGAGGAGACACGCGCACTAAAAGCCTCCATTTAATAAATAAGATCTAGACTATAAACTATGCCTACTAACGTTTCTTTAAGGTTAATAGCTAGTAAAGGTACTTTAAAGTAGCAAAGTAGGGTAGAGTCCTAGATCTAGAGCTATAGACATCCTAGAAGTAGGACTTTTCTACGCCTTAGAAGACGATATCTAATAAGTATAGTAGGATGCTACTAACGATGCTAATCGAGTACATGGCTTCTATAATTACGTCTTTACTATAGTTCTATAGTTAAGAGAGATAGGCATTGCTAAATATATATAACATCTCTAGAAGGACAAAATTTAAATAGCGATCGCTATTTCCCTACTAGGAGATAAGAGTAACCTTTATACGATTATTAACGCTATATAATCGTTGCTATAAGATGTATATAGGCTATGTTTCGATAGGCCTAACTATATGTTAACCTACTAATGTTAGGTCGTCCTTAGTCGCTTCTAACCGTCATAAGTCGATCTATAGGGCAAGACTAGACCGTTCGATCTATATAAAGGGCCTAAGAGCCTTAAGACATACTTTAGAATAGCATTTCGATTTATGTCGTACTTTGCTAGAGTTATTGCTCCTAATAAGTACTACTTTAGTATAGCAGACGAAGATAGTAACGACATGCAGAGACTAGAAGACATTATTAAGGCAATAGACGAGCAGTTAGTAGTATAGTAAGACATGTGCTAGATTACCTAATAAAGTCAAACGAGCCCTACCGAAGGAGACAAATACGTAGGTAACGAGGGAACTAGAACAAAGATAAAGGATCGGCTTTTAGAGCTATAGATACTTCTTATCTGCTATACGATAGGCGCTTGCCGATATAAGTCGCCGTTATTAAGCTTCTATGCTATGCTAAGCATAAAAACATTAATATGAAGCTAGATGGAACCTAGTAACTTTAATAGTAGTCTCTTAGCCATTATATGGATCGTGCAACTCCTAGTCTTCTACGATAGTGCCTTAAAAGAGTAGTAAGGCCGTAGGAAGACGCTCAAGCTTGTAAAAGCCTACTACGACTAGTATCTATAATAGACCGTTAAGATACCGATAGGAGAGATCCTAATTAACGACTAAATGGAAGTTTAAGTCTAAGGTCTAAAATTCTATTTTTCTTTTTTAGCTAGTTAAAGTCTCTAGTACTTAGTTCTTACCTAGTATAGACACTCTAGTAGTATAAGATTACTATAAAAGTAGGGTTAGGGTTAGGGTTAGGGTTAGAGGTTAGGGTTAGGGTTAGGGTTAGGGTTAGGTTAGGTTAGGG